TATTTTGCATTCAGAAATCACCTTTGAGTGCCAAACCTATTAAAAACAAACCCTTTGTGAAATATCCTTCAGCAGATGAATGTAAGTGGTAGATTTTGTAGCTGTACATGCTCTTGTTTTCCATTTTAATTACAAGAAGCTTCCTTTTTACAGGAGTCTTCCCATCACTTGTGTCATAAACAGCAAGGCTGTGGTTGGATTACTTTCCTTTGTGAATTTAGAAGTATTTTATTGCTAAAGCAGTGAATAGATGAAGTAAGAGCCGGTCTTATATGTCGTGCAGCTAAATGCATGGAGGATGTACCCTGGGTACTCCTGCAGCACACTGATCATGGCCTTTTCCCCATGGTGAGAAGCTGGAGGCCAGGTTTCAGCCACGAGCCACGCCGGGGAGCTCCCTGTCCTGCAGGAACTGGTTCGGGGCAGCAGTGCCCATTCCCAGGAGAGGCGAAGGGGAGAGGGTCTCCTCTGGCCGCTGCCACCCCAGCCAAGGGCCAGCCAGCCCCACAGTACTGCTGAGGGTGGGGGGTGTTCCCTGGGCACAGCTGTGGCCCTGGAGGCAGGGCTCCGAGGATAGGCTGCTATGGAAGTTCTGGTTTAGTAATTTGAATGCTAACTTTTTAATCTGGTCATTATTTTCTTTGATTGCTAATACCTTGACCTCTGGTGACAGCGGCTGCTTGTGCCTGCTAAACTTTAATGCAGGCTACAGTAAAGAACATTATGATTATTTGAAAAGGCAGGGTGTAATGCATTTCAGATTAACAGTGAAAGAAAAGCTATTCAAGTTAGAGGTTCACTTTGCCGTATCTCTCTCTATGCTGCTTTCCTTATTATCAGTACAAAAAATGAAATGAGAATAGCACATCTTTTAATTTTCTTCCACTATTACCTCTTGATTTGCATTCAGAGCTCCCAGAAGAAATACCCCTGAATTCAGAAGTAGTCTATTTAAGCTGCATGGTGTTTAAAAATTGCTGGAAGAGGTTAAGGTACTGTATATTATGCAGTTGACCTTACTAAGAAGCTGTGTTAACAATTTAGACTTATAATTTTGTTAAAATATTTTTTATAGCAAAATTCATTATCTCTTTTGGTACCCCTGCAGGTTAAACCTTTTGATTTCTCTCTAACTTATTTTGTAAGATTTCTAAATTGTATTTAAACTCCTTGTACTTAAAAGGTTGTTTTGCCACTGTCTCCTTGAAAAGAGGGGGATTTTTTGTCTCTTTGTACCTGGTCTGCAGAGGCTGCGCACCTTCACATCATTTTCCTTAGGAGGGAAAAACCTAAACCCTCCATCTGCAGTGTCCTGCAAATACATTTGAACTCTTTTATCTGACACTATTATGTCTTTGTGGCTGATCAGGTTTGAGCAAGACGTCTGGGGAAAATATTTTGGATGCTGCCTTTACCAAACAGCTGTAGTCTCCTGATACATTGGATTCAGCTCCCTTGGATTTAACCTTTGTGCCCTGATTCTGTCTAGGGGTGGCCAACACTGGGTCTGGTCACTGAGATAAACAGCAAATCCTAACAAAGCATCAATAGTGAAAAGCGCCAGAACAGGGGAGAGCTGTGCCTTGTGACTCCGGAGCTTCTGTAGCCCTAAATGGGGTGTTTGTGCTCTGTACTGCTGCTTGAGCACAAAACACGTCAGCAGTGGAACCCTGTAATGCAGAACATTTTCCAAAATGCCCAAGGTGCCACCACGCTGGCTCTGCAGTCTCCGGCAGGGGGTGTTTATCATGGCACTGCCTCCCGGTCACCTCTCATCTAAAAACTACAGCGTGACTCTGACAGTGAGTAAAATAGGGTCAGGGGCTCTGGGGCCTGAGGCCAAGGAGCACATACCAGCCCTTTTAGCACCGCAGGACCTGTGACCCTCAGGAATGGTCCTCCTTTTGAACAGGTTTCTGGTTTTTTCAGTCTGCAATGTTGAAATAAGGAAGCAGCTGTGCTGCAATGTTTATGCTGTTCATGCAAGTGGGCATGATGGAGGTGTGAAGCATCCTGGGTCCTGCTGGAGAACTGCTGGAGGGGATGGAGACAGGCTGGACAGGCTTGCCCATATTCCCCACTGGAAATGATCCCTAGTATATGCTCCCCCTCCATAATGGCTGGATGCTCTCAAGCCATTCTAGCTGGCATGGACCAACATCAGGCCAAGTGCTACAACTAAAGCAGTAGGGACCGGGAGTGGCACAGCGCTGGGGATCGCCCAACCCCCTTTTGCTTGGCTGCATTGGCACAGGGCCCGAGCCCAGGCTTGCAACCAGCCTCGAGAGCCAGTAGGTCAGGGGTGTCTCCTCACTGAAGCAGGATCAAGCTGTGACTCGCAGCTGCCCGCACAGGGCGAGGACAGTATGGGCGTTTCGACACTTCCGTGTTTCCCGAGCTCCTATTCATTCCTCACGCTATTGCAACATGCGCTGGGACTTCACACAGCAAGAGTGGTCTATCGACTGCTGCCTGCCTGTGGCAAAGTCAATGCAGGGAGCAAGGGAAGCCCGGTGTGGAGCCCAAAGCCAGAAGGTATAGTTATTCATTTAATGTGTAGGTATGCAGACTGTGATCAGCACAATAGCAACTGAGCCACTTGAATAAGTTCGACACAGAAATTGCAGCACACGTTACTTATACAGCAGCCTTTATTGGAAAATTAAAAAATGCCAGATACCAGTTTCATAGAGTAGTAAACTGCATTCACGTGTTGATATGGAGGTGCCATAAAGCCCCTGTTTTGTATCACTGGGATATATATACATGACAAAGACTGTTTGGCAACAAATAAGTAAAACAGAGGTTCTGAGAAATAAAAGAATAAACCAAGGGGATAAAAACATACTAAACGGATGAAGAATCGGTCTCTGTGCAGAGCCAAGCTGAAACTTGGCAGCTTTATAAACCGGTTAACATAGAAATAAATGAAAGTCCAAACAATAGGAACAAATCTGGAACAAATAAAATCATGACCTCACAAATGTTATAAATTGATTGTAAAGATAAAAACATCTTTTGAATTGTGTCCCTATAGTTTATTTTACTGCATACTTTGCTTCTGGGAAGATTCTGTATCTGAAAAAGCCGTATGAAGTATAGTCATAAAGCAGCACAAATGGAAATATTTCTCACTTGAAATAATAAGACACAAATTTGTCTCTATGTTATTAGCTGGTTATCCTCTGAATCATCCTGAACTTCTAGTCAGACAGCAAAGTTAAAATAAATTATTTCATCATGCTGCAGAATGTTTCTTAACTGTGTAATTCTTTCCTTTGCAGAATGCAGGTACTGAGCAGATAGTGGTTCTATGTGTCAGCATTTCCCTGGTGACTCTCAGCTTTTGTAGCGTTTATGTTTTGTCTAAAACATAATGTGATTATTTGTACAGATAAAAAAAGAAAATCCTCATGTGTGTTCTGACTCCACACAGTCCTGGCCAGTGCCAAGAAAAGTGCACACTGTGTCTGAGGTGAATGTAGACTATATCAATGAGGTCATTGGTGAAGCTTCATCATGAGATAATAGGTGCCACTTCTAATTTCGGGCTTAATCAATCAGCTTTACGACATCCAGCTTCGCAGAGCAGAGCCGGTGTGAATGCAGTAGGGAAGACTTTTGCCATTTGAACATCATCATTCCATTGGCACATGCTTGGCCCCGCCAGTACTTGCCCAGCAGCAGCACAGTACTCCGTCCCATGGAGTTTTCGGCCTGGCACAAATGATCTTGGCGAGGAAAGGCTACATGCCAGGTCACCTCTTCCCTCACAGCTGCAGGACCTGATAGACCTCCCTGAGGTGACGGAAGCCAGGGGACTTGCAAGTGCCCCATTAACCTAGGTCTCAGCTTGACTTAGCCTACCTGAGGTAAAATCCCGTCCAAGATAAGGTAACTTGTAGTGCTCACATTAGTGCCTGAGCAGGACAAATCAGTCAGATAGCTAAAATGAAGAATACATCCCTTCTTCATTTTAACCTTTCCAATTTAGATGTTTTCTATGTTTACATGGGATGGTATGGAGCCTTCTTAGAAACTCTCAACAAACCAGCTAATAAAACCATAGTGTTACATCACTGCAAGCCTGTCATCCCCTTTGACAGGGATGGATCGGACTGGCTTTAAACTGGTCACCTGTATCACAATGGTCATTGTCTAACTGGGGTTTCAAGGCCCAGCAAATGGCAAGTGCAGTTTGCTTTATCAGCCAACTAATAGCATCAGTAGTTATGCAGGAATGAAGCTGAAAGTGCAAATAAGGCCAGCGACTAAACCTTTCCAGCAATTCCATTTAATAAAATACTGCATGTTATTTACAGCAAATATACATCACACAATTCCTACACATAAAACGCACACAAAGTATAAAGACAGAAGCGGTACTCTCGTAACATGCTAAAGAAAATAAATAAAACTGAATTATTTTGGCACAACAGCTATTAGATAAATAAATATTCTAGAACATAATGAATTAACATTTATTTACAGTCTATTGAAAGTGCAAAACAATTGGCTGAAAATTAAGATATTTGTAAATGCTTAAGACCAGAAAATATGTGTTAACCAGCCACAATTCATTATAGCTAAAGGTTAAGGTTTTAATGTCCAGGAAATTATTCTCTTGAAATCTGTTTGTGCATATTGTGCTCTTTTTGAACCAGTCTTTTGCTACCTTTATGCTATTGATTTTGACAACCTTACTATTGTAATTGGAATCCTGTAAAAACCTGATTGGTAGTTTAAAAAAAGAAGTAAAATGTAAACACAGGTTAATCTATTCATCATTCAAAGTATTTTCAGTCCTGTCAGTTCTCTGAAATGGCCACACTGCTCGCAGTAGCAGGCAGTACAGTTAAGGTTAGAAATTTTTCTTAGTATCTGTTATATTTCAAACGGCAATACTTGTTAAGTCTTCTCTGAATTGAACTATACCTTGGACGTCTCTTGAACCTGCATTCTTACATCAGATGTCTACATGCATCTTCTACTGAGGTCAACAGTAGCTGGACAAGCTAAACTGGTGATCAGTTTTGGTCCTGACCTGGAGAATAAATCATAAACAATGGATTTTTAATTAGGGAGAAAAACACTACCTCCCTCAGGATTGTTAGAAGCTTTTTGTGCATTTTTCACTAACTAACACTAATCCTTTGCCTTTTTTATCCACTGAGAAATCATTTACTATAAGATGAATTAATGGTTCACAACATGGCCACCCTTGCAGCTATAGTGCATATATTCTTCCTCAGCCAAAGTTCTCTGACAGGCTGGTACATTGCGCGTTGCCTAAGACCTTAGGATATGTTTTTGCTTATTTTTGTAGTGGCAGTGCGGTAGCAGAGAAAGTGAAGTTCTTAACAAGTGACCTTGACAGGATAAAAGATCATTTCTCATCACGGCTTCAAATGTTTATGCTCGACGCGGTTCTAGTCGGTGAGACATCTGTGATAAAGTTCTCTGGTTGTCAATCACATTTAATTGCCGCACATAGCTCCGAACATCCTGATGGTTCTTATTAGTTAGGGCTGCGTCGGGATCTGGTGAAAGAGAAATGATGTAGGATTGATACACTTAAATGAACAAATGCCTGAACAGAATGCGGTAACTCTTTACAAGCTGTCACAGGAAACACCAGATCCTGGTGAGTTAAAAAGGAAATATTTAGAAATCGCTCTCTTTGAAGCCTTTCCTCCATAGCTGAGTGTCTTTCTGGTTCCTACCCCCACAAATTAACTTTTTCTCTCAGATATCCTTGGCTACATGTCCCCAAATTGATGGCTCTTGGTTACAGTTTTATACATCACCTTACCAGTCAATTGCTATAAATTATCTAGCTAACTAGTATGATTTAAAGCTGCCCATCTGCTTTTGAACCAGCAGCTTTCACACGGATTCAGAACTATATAAATGATTTAAGCCTCCTTTCATGAAATATCCCCATTTCTAACTCAGCATTAAATATCTGTAACACTGTAGTGCTTTGTGGCTGCCCCATTCAAGCTTACCTTACTTAACATAACGTCATTATACCTACTCCAATAATTATGAAATACCACTGAGTTAAAATCTGAGTATCTATCTTCAGCCTCACAGTGAACAGCTTACATTTCAATGAAATATGTGTTAGGTAACTTTAACTTCTCTAAAAGAAAGATACTGAAGCATCTACTATGTATAAATACATATACAAACACACAAAAAGCATGAGGCTTAGGTACGGTACATCTACATACTGATATTTTGTTATATTGTGTATAGTGAAAATCCACTTCTAAATATGCGTAGGTCTCACTAGTGCTTCATACATTAAAATTAAAAGATACATAGCCAGAAAAACTTCAGCGGTGGGAGGAAAAATTAAAAAGCTTCTTTTCTTGATCTTCTAGAGTTAAGCTTTGATCCAGATGGAAAGAAACTATTTTTATAATAATATATTGTTTGATATTATTTATTCTGCTCTTTGAGGAAAAGGAAGGCTGCTGTGTAGCAAAATGAGTGAAGTGCTGAGGAAATGCCAGTGTGACAGGGACTGACAGTGCACCTAGATGGGATGAGACCCACAGAGCAAGCCTGTTTGCCCATGCAGCTCTGTCATCTTTCATGGCCTCAAGTAAGTTCTGGTAATTATACTGTCAAACAGGTTTTAAGCTCACCGCCTGATGCAGTTATGTCACCTGTAAATGTCATGTTTCCAGATAGGTTTCCTATAAAAACAGGGTTTATCCAAGCAAGTATCTTTCATGTATCTGTGTGCTGCTGTCTGCTAGCCTGACTTCAACCACTTCTGAACCCAGCGGCTAATTCCAACAAATTCTAACTTGACAGATGTGTACAGACCTCACAGATACTTAGGTCCTTCACATGCTTGGAAAAGAGATGGAGGAGAAGGGACTTATTAGAGCTTCCTGAAGGATATTTCATCCTGTGAAACATGGAAGGATCCAAACAGGGAAGAATCGCTGAAAACCAGGCTTTTCAATTGTGGTACACACAGAATTAGCTGTAATGACTGTAGCTACTGATGATAATGCTGACTGTGCAGATGTTGTAATACACTTACTGAAAGATTGGCTTCGGCAGAATTTCACCGTCCTGACAGTGTTGGCAATCATGCGCTGGAAAGAAAAGATGGGATGCAATCAGGGAACAAGCACTGTATTTCATCATCATTTAAACGAAGCACCTAACTGTGCCTCAGTGTGAAGACATATGCCAATAAAAGCAGTCATATGAATGAAAATATAATTTTAATGCTGATACTCTCATATGTAGGGTGTGATTTGCATTTACACAGGCTTTAAATGAGCATGAGTGTAATTTACATGTGCTCAGAGAACACTTACCCTTGCTTGGATGCTGTAAAAGGCCTTAACTAAGAATGAAAATCAGACCCTTCAATGTGCATTTCTTTGATAACATCTTCTCACATTCAAAAGTAAAAGCAACATCATGTAGAACAGCTTGGAGTATATACACGTTAATTTTAAGACCATCAGTTCCTAACAGCAAGGCTATTTCTATAACATACTTGGCAATCGAAGAGCATTCACCTTTCATATGAATTTGAGTTTAAAATGCAGCCTTCCCAGAAAACAACAGTGTAAAATGAGCATGTGAGAGTGCATGTTCACTGATTCCCTCTGAAAGTATGCTCGATTCACAGGTGAGAAGGCCACCACTGGAACTGTGGATGTCTAGGCAAGTTTCATCAAACAGAACTGTTAGACAGTGCTCGCTTGCACGGGTGTATCTAACCCAGCGTGAAAGTGGATTCACTTTTTGTGGACACCTCTACTGGCAATTCACAAAACAAGCAGAAGTAACTTCATTCCTTCTTGGCTGTGCTTGCTCTTCAGTAAATAAGCCGTTATTTCACTCACTTGGCTAAGAAAACACTCATTAATACATTTCACTCCAATAAATCAGATGCTATTTTACAATAGTTTTTAAGAACAGAAATTAAGGTAAGTCATAAAGCAAAACATTTCAGATTTAGTTCTGGACTGCAAAATTGTAACTGGGTTGTGTGATTAGCACCACACAGGTAATACACCCACCAGTGGGGGGGAAAACTTAGTTGTTCTGCATAGTATCAAATAAACTGAAACTTCAGCAGTAAAACTGAATCCCTTAGCTAGACACTTTGAGTCAATCCCTGTTACAAGGACATTTGGTTTGGTTTGTTTTGCTTAGATTAAGAAAAAGCAGAGAATTGAAATGCTATTCCTAATCAGGGTCTAATGTTTGTTCCAGCACTTTAACATGGTCCAACAATTAAAACACAGCTACATCTTTTAATGCAGCACACTCTCACTCCCCAAAATTCACATGCGATTATGATCTTACATGACAATGCTGTTATAAATAAAATACCTTTATGAAATCTGTCATTCCAGAAGGGGGAATCACCAATGTAAAATGCTTCTTAACACGTACTGAATAATCTAGACATTTTAATGTGCTGACAAGTATATGAAAATGGGTATGGCTGGAGGTTAGCACTAAAAACACTAGTGATATATCATGTACCAAATTTTTGTGAATTACACATTGTATAATCAAATGAATTGCAGCTATTCTGAAACTGATCTAAAGTATTTTAATTTAATAATGCATCTGCTTGTATTTTTCCTAAGGTCATATGTATTTAGGTGTGGTAAATAAGTAGATTTCAAGTAAGGGTAATTTTTATCCTATGTTAATTTTCATACCTCTTCAAGCCATTACTACTAGGCAGATTTTCTGAGGTACTTCCCTTGCAAACATTCTCGTATGTGCTTAGCATTAAGAATGTGAATAAGCCTCATTGACTTCAATGGAACCTCTTAAATACTCAAGGATAAGCACCCATTACAGTACTGGATTGAAAAAGAACGCACTGCGTATTACAGTGTTAGTTATTCAAGTGTAACCCAATCAAATGAAAATCAAAACAACATGAACGTGTAAACATGAATGTTTCATAACTCTCATGGTTTCACATTTAGCTGCGTTATGGGGTGCTGCTATTTTGATTTACACCATTTCAAAAAGTACTCCCCTAAAATAACTATAAGGAGAGACCATAAAGTTGAACTGGACCGGACAACACAATGAAGTTCCAAGAGCGTCTAACTTCAAGGGAAGCTTTCCTAAGGACACTTCATTTTTACAAAGATAATTAGTGTTGCTTGATGTGCCATCTAGATGGACTGTTAATACACACCCTAATTTTTCATACTGGTAATGTTTATGTTTTACAGCCTCACCTCATGACGATCTTTGAAGCTAGACTGTAGGCTCAGTGTTTGATTAGTGTTAAGCTTCCTAAGTGAAAACTTAGATTTATCAAAAAAATGTGTTCTGTGGAATCTTTTTAATCTTTTTATTTATGTGGGGAATTTGTTCTGTAAAGAAGCATAACATCTAGAATAAATACTGTAATGCTGTATTGTACTGAAAGACAAAGTATGTGTGTAGCAAAGGCTTTTAAAAAGTTTTCACTATTTCCAAATTTCTCTTCACATGGGCTTTTCCAGGCAAAGAAAAACCAAAGTGGCCAGGATCTTGTCTAACTTCTGTTTAAAGGCTGAACTGCCTGGCTTCCTTCAGTTGGCTGAAAGGATTAACTTTAAGGAGTTACTTTGCCTATTCTTCAGGATACAGTCATTCAGTCTGTGCATTTTGAAGTATCCTGGCAATGAGGAAACACAAAGGAATAAGGAAGTGGATGTTAAGGCAGAATAAAAGGAGAATCTGTGGCCAGAAGACAGCATTGCAACCCAGTGAGGAGATTCTGGAGTATTATGTATCCTTGAAGAGCTCCTTTCACATTGCTTTTTTCCAAGTGCTATTGTACTGTCTAATACAAACTCCAAAGAGCTCCTCTTTGGAAGGTGCACATAAAAACATCAACTGAAAGTGAATTTCCCTTCCTGAATCTTGTAGGTAAGTTGGATTGTCTTCCTTTGATTCAAGAAAACCAGAAACACGTACAGAAAAAATGTTCAGATGGCAGTTTAATTGCCAGCTCCTTAAATTTTTCCTTTAAATAGAGGATTACCTCTAGTTAGTGCCTGCAAAAATTAGCCTCTGCTTACTCACTGTGCTAAGAAAGACCATTATGGAAAAGACATACAAACTTCAATTTGGATTTTTCTGAAATAGAACCAACTGCATAATATGACAAGCAACCGCTACTACCAGCATTCTATACATACACAACAATACCCTTTCAAGTTTTACACACTTTGGAATAGTGGCAGCAGGCCAGCATATTATCTTCTAATCCATTCCAAACCCAGGTTTCTAAATGTTATAAATATTCATATATGCCATAGAAAACTAGTAAGGGCTTTAGTCGCACACTTTTTGCATAATCTTTATGTTCCAAAAATGAAAGAATGTTTGCCCTTTTTTTTGCATAAGGATCAGAGTGTGAATTCCCTTTTGTTCATATCCACAAAAGCCGAAAACCAGTATGTGCCAATTCTCTAATCCTCATTTCACACCTGAAGGGTGAAGAGGCTTCACAAAAAGAAGCATCAGCGGCCAGCATCATGGCACTGCCTTGTGCTGCCATGGCAGTTCAGCACTTTCAGAGCTGTTTCATGTGTTCTGCTCCCTCTACAGGAGCCATTTCTGAGACATGCTGGGTAGTACAACATGGAGATGGTGCCACGGAAGGTGATCTTTGTTCAGGCTGGCTGATGGTTTGAGAAATGGCACTGATAAAGTTCCCAAATAATTGCATCTTCCCTCTACCTATGAATACAAAATTCTGTACTGGCAGTCAGAGTGCAGGATTATGCAGCTGAGGTCTGAAAATAGCAGAAATCAGTAAGCCGTCAAGAGTATGAAATCTTGCCTGTCTTTAAGGAGATTCATACTCAATACTTTCCTCACTTTCCTCTCTCTTCTTTCCCCGGCAAGACATAACTCTAGGAAAGGGCTTTTAAATTTTCTTCTAAATATATAGCTATAAAAGCAGTGCTAATTGAATGTTGCCATGTACTGCACTGCAGGTTGCAGCTTGTCCTGTATCTGCTAAATCATATGGAGTTTACAGGAACTAATATCACTGGCAGATCTGGGGGCTCTCCTTCACCTGAAAAGACTGTCATTAATGGACCTAAAAGACATGCGTATTTTAGATCACAAACTAATTGTGTTTGCTGTCTACTGCCACTGCCATCTTTTTATCTTTCATCTACTTGCAGCTCTCAAAATGTCCTCAACCCACAAAACTACACCTGCAGCATTTCAAAAACTTCACAATCCTATTCATTCCTTGTTCCTCTGTGACAAGTTATGTCTTCAGTTTTTACATAGATGGGTCTTCTAAAGCAGCACGTACAACTAACAGCTACTGTCAGCTCGTAAGTGGAGAAAAGATGAAGGTAGTTTTTACCACACAAGGTCACTGGGCATGTGCCAACATAGAAGGTACATCTGAGCAGCACCATCGTGGAAACAGCTTGTACCTTGTCTCCATTAGCTTCTTACAGTGTGACGCCAGGACACAGTGAGACAAGTAAAAGACCTTCAATTCTTCTCTAAAACCGTGTGTTGTTTGGTATTGAAAACAAAGCCATTTACTAAAGACTTGTATTACTAATAGCAGTAATGTCTACTTAGTGGCAAAAGTATAAATAACATGTTCCAGGCTGATTTTAAGGCCCAATGCTTGTTTCCTCCAACCCCTCCTTGCTTCATGCAATAAATGGCATAGTAAAGAGCACAAGTACAGTGCAAATACAAAGAGCGTACCTATTTCTGACATGTTCTATATTGTTTTCCCACATCTTGTACATACCAAATGGGTTCGCTTACAGACTTCCCTCTTTACACACAGCTCTGGCTCTACCATACACATAGTATTCTCTTCCCTGGCTAGCTGTCCCTGCTATCCCACTCCTCACAGCCTTATCCAAATAAGAGGCTTCATGGAGATCGGGAGATGAGGAAGAAGGAGCAGGCAGTTTACAAAGGCAGCAGCTGGTAAAGCTCAGCAATGCTCTTCAGAGTGATGTCCTCCACTGCTGCCGATACCACAGTTCTGACACTACACCTCTGAAAAAGACCAATTTATAGGGAAGTGTAGCAGGAAAAAATTGACTCAGTCCCTTTCCTTTTTACCTTGACTTGCTAAAAAAACCTAGGCTAATGTGATTTAACACCATCTGTCTGTTTTTCCCTTCGTCTCTAGATTTGTCAAATCTGAAAAAAGAACCCAGAGTTTTCAAACATAAAAAAGCTCCTACCAATTTTCTGTGAAAATAGATGGCTGTGAACAAGAGAAAGATTGTGTAAGTGCCTTCTCCTGTCTCCTTCAGGGAAAAGGCTGTAGTGCAAGTTCCTATGTTATGACAAAAGCCTATTCACAGAGAATTCCCCAGCCATGAAGAAGCCACACATGCCCCAGCCACGAGGAAAGATCTGAGCAGAGCTTAGGCAGCCATGAAACACAAACGTTTAGGGAACCAGGCCTCATTTCTTTCTGGCACTCAGGGAACTCCTGGCTCAGACACTGTCTGACAGCTCCTGCATGTTTTAAGATGCAACATTTAATATAAATAATAACAGAAACCTCAGAGAACATAAAAGATTTAAAGGAGGCTGTTTCAGCTGCAGAGATGCCACTAGATCAAACTTCTACTTTTGGCTGCCAGTCACAGGAATAAAGTTGTCAGCAGCACATCAGCTGTCGGGATCAGAGCTCTGTGGTGAGCATGCAGACATGATGCCAAAGGCTGTTCTCGGTTTCATCACTGTGCTTACATGAGAGTCAGAGGGACCCATCTCCTTCGGTGGCAAATGGCACCAGCAGTGGCAGCTACCCAGATATTTTTATTCATAAACTTCAGCAAGCACCAAAGTTAGGATGGATCAAGGGAAGTTATTTTCCAAAGAACAAAGATGTTTTAGACAGATCAGTAAGTGTGGCTCCCAGTAATATTCAGAGGTATCTCTACGTGCTTGTGACAGAATGTCATGCAGCAGAACAAACAGGCAGAAACAACAAATGGCAGGACTTGATTCCTGTGAGGAAATCTGGTTTCTGCATTTCTCCTGAAATAACAGAATAGCAGAATAACATCACAGATTTACCTTGAGTTTTTACTTATGTAAAAGGAAGCTGAATTTATCTGACGGTTATCTGGCTGAGTGGTCTTGTCTTCACCAGTTAATATCTGGCAATTATGTGTGCATATGACAGTTGTAAGCTTAACACAAGTAGGCGGTAGCAACTGAGGTTTAACAGTAGGCTTTTCTTCTTTGCTTGACCTGATGACACATGCAAAAAGCTAAAAACTGCCAGGTCCACATTAGGATTTGAATGAATTATGTGGGTGGAATCTGAATACATGTTGCTTTGAAGAGCTATGGGTTGAGAGAAGCAGTAAAAACATAGAAGCATGCAGAATAGCTAACGAAGAACATCAAAAAGGCAAAAGATATACTTGTAGTAAGGCCTGGAGAAAAAGCAGAGTGGGCTTCTAGGTAGAGCACTAACTGAAGAAAGGTTTAGAATATTGAGAAAGGAGAACGTTTCCCTTTCTGTTGTGTGGAGGAACATGAGAATATTGATTCTTTGAAAAACATATAGCATCAAAACCACATTAATTGATCTTCACTTTCTTCTCCTAAAGGACATGCTCAAAGCTCAGATTACTGTTCAAAATGGGTGATATTACCTTCATGCAGTATAAAATTTTATCTAAAGCTTTTGGGTGCTAGTAGTAAATCCATGTTCTAGAGAGAACTAGGGTGAAGAGGGCAGACCTGCAGCAGCCTAGCTATAGATCAGCTTAAGCTGCTATAAAATTCACTCTTGGCCTTGGGAGTGTCAAACTGTAGTATAGAGTGGTGCAGAACCATTTCTAAATGACAAGCCTGGGCTGAACTTCTGTCTATGGGCAAGTACTCACAGGAGAGCTCCTGCCTCCTGTAATGGCTTTTACAAATAATCAGGCATAAAGAACAGCCTGAGGCATACAGCTCTGCGGCCTGCTGATGTACCGGCTCTTCTGGCTCAGGGGGTGTAAGTAGGCCAGGTGAGGTGAGGTGGACAACATGGAGCCAGCCACATAGCCATGGCTATAGCAATGCATCTGCCTTCCCTCCTGGTTTGGAGGTGCTCCAGCCAAGTCTGAGATCCCTTTGTGTTCCCCAAAATATTTACTATCTACACTAGTATATATATATATATATTTATCTGACTAGACTAGGCAGTCCAGGAAAAAATCCTTTCTGCAGGTAGAAGGCTCACGGCCTTTGGAAGAAGATGGCAACACAGTCTGCGTATGCAATTACAGAATGTCATTATTGCAAAGTGAGGTCAGACCCTTACTCGGGCATTAGTACTTCCATTTACTCACCAAAAAGTCTCAGCTTAGTAGACAGGTAGTTTCACACTAGGACAGAGGCTATCCTGGAGCTACAGACTAAAATTTAAGAGAAGAATTCACTCGGAGTGACAGTGACCTTTCTGTAGACCTGAAAGTCCTCCTTTTTGACTCTCCACAGTATCAGTGCTCAGAAAGGAAGACAAGCTCATCTGTAGTGGAGTGGAAATAAGCATGGAGCGGTTCTGGTTACTGTAGTACTAAGAATAAGCAGATACAGGTGCCAGAGTAGATCTGCTCTAGCATGGCTGCTGAATGGAGCTTTACTGCCAGAACACTAAGTCAGGTTTGGTTCTGCAGTGCAGCTGCTCATAGCTGTGTTTAGGTAACCCTGGTTCTCAGATGCAGGTGTCATTAACCACATTAAGAGCATGACCTTAGCAATTAAGAAAAGGGCTTCTCACTGCTAAGAAACTTGAGTTTCAGTAGAGGTTTCTGCCGTGGGAAGTTGCCTGCTTGCAGTGTTTGACAGCAGTGTTTGAAATTATTGGAGCTTAGGTGAAGGATTTGAAATAACTCAGATTGACCATAGTCTAGCCTTCTATTATTGATCCCCATTACCAACATGAAAACAATCAAATTACCAAAGTCGTGTTAAAGGAAAGAAGAAAACAAGATGATGTGTATTTTTTGTATTAAAGCTGCTTTCCTTCTCTGAGGAGCAATGCAGAATTATCCCAGCCTGAGACAGTTCAGTCCAGTTTGAAGAAACAGCAGTTAAAATCTCAGCTTGGTCCCAAAATGGCTCTTAAAAACTGTCTCAAGCAGCTCTGCTTCCTGTCACTGCTGCTGCCTCTCCTAGGAAACATTTTGGCTATGCATGGCTCAGTGGGCAGTTTCTTCTCCACCTCTGTGAGGTTTTCCAGAAACCCAGAGGTCCCAGGCACTGTGCACAACACAGACTGTTTCTGCCAGCTCTTGGTCCTGCCTTCACCTTCTCTAGTCCTGAAAATCATTATTGAGAAGTTGACTCTTGAAGAGATGAATAGGAAGGTCTTTTTAAATTTTCATTTAAAATATGGCATACATACCATTTTTTCGAAGTTTACTAGGTTGTCAGTGAATGTCTTGTTTCCCTCATGAGTGAACGTCATGTCTGTATAGAAATAAAAGCCACACAAAAGCCCATTACTGAATCATGGTCATACAAAACAGCAGAACATTTTATCTATCCCTTACAAAAATCAAAGCAACTATAAAAGTAAAACATTTAGTTTTTAATTTGCAGCATTTCTGAGACTAGTAAAATTGAGATATGATATTCAGATGTACTAAAGCAGTTTTTCTTGTCTCTGTGCCATGCTTTTTATAATGGAAAAAGATCATACCTCACACTGAGTCTGATTTTTGCTTTTTTTTGCTGCTACTCTTATTCTTCAAATATTTGACAAATAGCTTTCAAGTTAATAATTCTAGTAACATCCAAGCCTACCTTTTATAAGTAGTGGCATGAAAGGAATTATTGGAGGGTCCAATTTAGCTACCGTTAGTCTGTAGGCCCTATGGTTTCTTGATGGATCCTTAAGAAAAAAGAGAAATCAAATAATTACTAATATGTATTATTATATGTATCGGGACACCGTATGCATTCATTTAGATGTCATGGCATTTATTAAAATCATTATTTTCCCCTGTGGCTTTAAAAGTGCATCTGCAAACTCAGATGTCTTTTATCATTCTCCCATAGAACTTACACGATGAGAATGCAGCCACTAAGCACAAACATTTTTCATGCCGAATAGCAAGGTAAGGTATGATTACAAAAAAATGTTCACAAAAAGAACCACGTTATTTTTCCTCCCTCCTTGCAGCTGCAGATCCAGTTTTGCTTATGTTGTAACACTAAAATGTAATGCCTGGAAAAATCCAGGTTGGAAAATATAATTTCCCATATGTACTATTGGAAAACATGTGATAAAGCTTCTCTGAGTTCCCAGATTAACTTTGAGTGGTACATAAGTTCTCCCAGAGTAGGTTCCTAAGAGTATAATTTATTAGTCATACATACTTGTTTTAGCAGCTCTAAAATGGGATCATAAACTTCTTAAAGTCAAACAAGGACATATAAAATGTTCTGAATCAAGGAATTCAAATCAGTTACTCAGAAACTGAATTAGCTCAGATTGTGTACAGAATAAGGGATCCACTGCTATTCACCATTAAGCTTTCAAACTCTGCATAGATCTTCTTGAACTTGCTTGGAAGTTTCTGTTAATAAAAACAAAAATAGCAAACCTTAATTAAACCCAATTTGTGTAAATGCTAGTTCTTTCTACAACACCCTAAGTCATGAAAGTGCTCTTTTTGCCAGATATTTCTAACAATGTGCTAATCTAAAATACAACATGTTTCCTAGCAACCAGATTATAAATAGAGACAGGACCAGCTATGAAACCTGGATCCTGATTTAAACCCCAACTTGAATTTACTCCTTTGGGATGTTTAGATTCAGATTTTTGTTTGGCACACATCACAATCACTGAATTCAGAATGTACGTGAAAGCTCAAGTCACTGGTTTCAGGATATTCCTGACTATAGCCTATCTGAAAACATAATTTACACACAGCTTGCACAGGGGTAGCTCAGCTTAATTATTCATACCTATGATGAACTGCTCTTGCAACATTCAAATCCATGCCTGGGCATTTCCAGGAGGTTTTTTTGTTCATGCTGATGTATCATCAACTATTGCTCAAGTTCTTGACATGCCCAGCAGACAAAGGCCTCTACTGCTTTTGGGGGTATAAATTAATTAAGAGTCTTTCAGTCATAAAAAACTGACCATAAATCACAGTCAGTTGATCATGCAGTGATTGGGATGAGATGGGCTTTACTAAATATTTTCTTCCCCCCCTATGTTATACATATTAAATAATTCTACTATGAAGACTATAAGATATGTTATTAATTAGTTTCAGAGATCACAGTAATGTTTTACCCACACTCGGAACATGTCAGTTTCCAGTTTTAATAAGAAATTTCTCTATATTTGCTGATTAAATCTGACTATTACTGGCAGCAGGTAACATTAAAAATTAATAGAGACTTTATAGTGCAGAAATGATTTTTTGCTATACTTTCTACATTTGGAGTGCGTATCCTAGCAAGCTATTTACACTGTGCCACAGCAAGGGCCTAATTTTTAATGATGTGTGTCAACAACCATGTGCCTAGTTTGCATATGCATGCAGATTAGGTATTTGTGAAATAAGTGGTATAATTGGACATTTGCACCTGCAAATATCTAATTTGTGCATGCAACTACTGTAAATGCATGACAATATAGCAAAAATCATGTCTTGATATTTTTAAGAATATTCTGTATATCTATCTGGCTAAAAACCAAACTGCAGAGATTCCCTTGATTAACTAACTACCCTACAGAACCACAATGTTACAACATTTCTTACCCCACACCTACAAATGATCTGTGCCACTCCAGCTCAGACCCTGTGCCCATTTCAGATTGTTGTATGCAGTATATACATTAAATTCTCCCTTCTTTCTTCCTACTACTACTGTACTACCTCAGGTCTCCCAATTATTCCTCTCAGTAGTCACAAATGGTCATTATTTTGAGACACTGATTTGCAAATCTTTGCCTTTAGCACTCACTGATTCTATATGCCACTTGCAACACATACTATTGAAAACCGGGCTGGTGTCTTCTCAGATGTATTCGTTTGATCTCCCATTTCAGTGCACTTTTCAAAAGCTGCTCACATTTTGGTCTCAGTTGCAACAATGACCTCAGTTATGATTTTGAATTTCTAATGAACAAAATACATGTACACTCAAATCTGCACTGCTTTTGACAATGACCATGTTTTTAGTGGTTGCATGCACTTACTACCTCATCCTGGTGGACATTTCACCCTTTTTATGTACTTACATACAAAAGAGCAAAGCCACAGAAAAAGGTGGAAGCTCTGAGAATGAAGACCCAACTGATAGTAAGCAGGGGAATGTCAGAGAGAAAACCAGAACTGGTTAGGACAAACCCACACTTTAACAGGGCAACAGAGTCCACATGGAGATCAGAAAATACTATGTATAAAAGGAGGATGGATTTTAGAGAAGTATCTATGGAGTGATCTTGCTGAATGACCAGTAGAGTCAGAGGATGGGCTGATCTGAGAGGTTAACTGGCTAACTTGCTCATCTTGTTGGGCAGTTTAGGTCATCAATAGAAGCTGCTGTTGTCACTCTTACGAACTGCTTGTGAGTATTCAACACACCTATGGTTATATTTTCTTACTAATAAAAATTGTCAGCCTAAGCTAAAGGCTTATGCTCAGGAGCTGAATTAGTAGATCTAATTATTACCAATAATAAAGGCCCAAGCCATGTTTTTTGCTAACTAAAAGCACGAATCCCAGTCTAACTTCTTGGAATTGGATTTTAGTGAAGACTTACCTCCCATGTTAACGAAAGACGGCTCACAGCAACATTACTCAGTCCCATAATAATAGCGAAAAAGGAATTCAGATTTTTGTATTCTTTACAGCTGAAACACAAAGGGCCAGGTTTTAAGCTGTATGTATCAGTCAGGGCAGAAGTACACATGACAACCTTAAGACAGCTGAACCCAGGCATCTAGCATAGATGTGATTGTATTTGGGCAGCCCTGGCCCACATGCCTGCAGAACATCGCTTCACCAACGTGTGAGTATTTCACCACACTCTGGAGGTTCCTTTCCCCTCACTCCTAAAATGACCTCCTGCTTCCTCTTCACTTGGTGACAGCTTCTGCAAAGGCAATAGTTTTTGAAGCTCCACCCTGCCCAGAAGCACAGTCATGAAACTAGGCTCGATTCAGTCCCAGGGAATACCAGAAACAATGGAAGCAACTAGTTTCCAACCTCATTTGCTGCAGAACTTGCTGACAGCTTCTGAACAGTTACCGAATACTAGAAGTTGTTCCTAGACAATCTTCATTGCAGTTTACAGGGGCACTGAGTCTTTCAAAGGGAGAAGACCAGCTGTCTAGAGATGCCTGTGTGCCAGTGACCTCTCTCACTAGATGTGATTTCTAACTATCACTTGTAGATTCTGGAGCTCTTTAGGACATTTCAAGCCATTCATTGTCAGCATCATTAAAGAGGTCCTGGATATTAGGAGCTCTAGATCATGCTTAATCCCCAATGCAAAAGAGAAATCTTGTTAACATCAGGAAAAACTGGAACATGTAACTGAGTATTATGGAAGATCCAAAATACCATATGCAGGAGTAGACACAATCTGACAGGAACAGCCCACACAACTGCTCAGCTGGGACTGCATCAGCTGGCTCATTGACTCAGTTTGAAGGGAAGAGAGACAACCAAGCCCATATCTCATAAATCCGTGTCTCACTAGGTTCCTGCAAATAATTTTCTCTTTTTTACAACTGATTTGCCAACATCTGATTTCAGCACGTCAGCCTACTTTTTTTGCTGTTTCCCAAGAAAACTTCCACAGAATAAGCTCTTAGCTCCTCTGAGGAATCCTCAGGTCCAGATGAATTAGTACAATCATCACATCCTAACGTTGGAATCCATAATTGCCACATCACCCTACTGTTATTCTGTTCTTTCTCTCCCTTCATTTCACCAGACTCAATGTATTGAGTGGGTGAGCCCTTTAGATCAGGCCTCACTTGTGTCTGCACTGTGTGAACACTCAGCGCGTGAAAAGCTGATTTCTCCCATCTGATGGTCTGTCTGTTGGAGACTGCTGCCCCCTCAGATCTTCTGGCAGAGCTGCTCATACAAATTCTCCGACGCAGATTAGGGACAGTGAGCAAGGTTAGCCAACTTATTCTGACTAGAGCAGGTCAGGGAATGCCTCGTTAGAGGATCTGAGGGGAGATGAGGATGAAAAGCAGCCAGGATAGGCTTTCAGTGGTAACCTCTGCCTCAGGCACAACTAAATCCAGGAAGGGATATCTGTCCACAGCCTGGGACATTGAGAATAAATTGTGGCATTGAAAAAATAATTAGTACTACACACCAGTAGTGCTCAAACATGGTAGGCAGCTGCAAATGTATCTAGAATATGTAATTACGATCTCATTTTAAAAAGGAAAAGTTTAGCCAAAAACCCTGTAAGCAATGTAATTTAAAATTAAATATCCATCTAGATGTATGACATTCTACATCAAATATTCTGTAAATTCTACAGGCTCTACAGTAAATAACTCAGTTCCAGATAGAAGACCACTGTAAGGTAGTAGAAACAGTGCTTCATGGCTCCACCGCATATATGGTGCCTGTAAAATCTCAGAAAGTGGATCCTCCAAAGCACCACAGTGTGAGCAGAGCAGAGGTCCCTCTCTGCCTCCCACAACAGACAGTAGTGGAAAAACCTTCCTGTAAGTATGAATTGTGAAAATACACATATGAACACACTTGTCTCCACCACAACCACACGCGGTTAAAATCTCTCAGTACTTACACAAGCATAGTGCTCTTGGCATTTTCTCTGTAATCACACACCCTTCAAAATTTCTTACAGGCTCCTTGGACTTATAATATATGCACGTGTATAGAATGAATGATTTTCAACAACTGAATGGAAGCGTCTGAGTATAGTGATACATAAGAAGGCTTCTAAATAGCCTGTGGTATACACGCAAAGCATAAGTATATGCAAACTTGGCTTGTGCATATCCATTAGCATATGTGTAAGTACATCCTAGAAGGCCTTTCTGATACAATTAATATGGGAAGAGCTCACTCTAGGAAATATAGTTCACTTTTCCCCTTTGTTCAAAAGTTTAATCCTACAGTAACTGGAGAAAAGAGATGAACCTGGTAACCTCTACATCCTTTCCCTGCAGATGCAAAGGCAACAGCAGCTCCTGGAACTGAAAGCACACATGCACAGCACTTGGAGCCAGCACTTGGCCTTGTGCTTGCCCGCAAAGACAGGGAGTATATATCATAGGGTGCGTGGGGTGGCAGACACAGAACGATGTGCCTTCTGAGATGGTTCCTGAGCCCAGGGGCACAGAACTGAAACAGGGTTCTCGGTTATCTTTGAAAATCGGTATGCATAAGGCACCTTGTTACCACCAGTCATGCCCAAATTTAACAGTGCAGCACCGAGCTGTTCTCCCCGAACACTTTCCTAAGGAGCCTAGTGCTTTCTAGTTAGGCTACAGTTCTCATTAGGTCTCAAAGATCTTCACAAGCAAAACTTCCTCAAAGACCCTGCTTCAAGGCCTGGGCCCACATCTTTTGATCCAGTTCCTTGCCTTTTTGTCCCGCTAACTTCAGTGCACTTGTGTTTGTTTTACCATACGCTGTGGCACCTGTTCCCATGGCAGCACTGCACGGAGGGCAGCAGCCTGCCAAAACTTCCCTGCGGCCTTTCCAGCGGCTGCAATTCAACCTGCCTGCTCGGTCTGCGCAGAGGAAAACCTTGCGCCTCGGGTTGCTCTGCTGTTAGGAGACAAAGAGGGCTCAGCAGAGCAGACTTCTTTAGCTGTTTATTTTTAGCATTGTAGTGATACCAGAAACATGGAAGTAAACAGGAGGTTGTCAAGCTGTTGTGAGTAGCACAGGATTAAACCCCTGACACTGAGGAACCCACGGGCTACAGCGGTTTATTAAGGAGATATTTGACTGTAATTTTTAGGATACTTGATTTCAAGTGTTTACGGAAATGACTATTCTTTCTTAATTTGACACATTTCAACGTTTTCCCGTTTCATGCCGGAGTTCAGAACAGACCCGGACGCCTCTGTGGGCGGGTGCCACTGCCCTCTCCTGGACACAGCCCGCAGGCCAGCAGCTTGCTTCCCTGTTTCGCTCTGCAGAATGACATAATGGAATATGCAGTATATGTATTTTTAGAAACTAAAGAGGTAAATTCCGTCCTCCGTTCTGAATATAAACCTGGTCCTGCATGCCCACCACTAGAGTCCGAAAATCTTCAGCTTCGACCAACTGTAATCTGACCAGAGGGCCCAAAGCAATTCCCAGAGGAAGCCAGTACTGGCAGAGCGAGGCCCTTCCCAGAGAAGGGAGGCAGGCTGTGCAGGGTTCTGAGGTGAACCCTGATTTCAGCTATGTGGAATTATTAACTGGGAGGAGGGTGGCATCACAGCTCTAACAGTAATCTCTTTTTTCACACAACTACGTTTCATAATACAAACTCATGGTTTAACTGTAAGAAAGAACTTTGTTTGGCAAGACTGTCTAAAAGCCACACTGTCCAAAGTCATAGACAAACACACAGACAGTTCCTCACTGCACACATCAGCTAACTCTTTGTTCAGGCAGTGATGAATGCAATAAATACACCATGAACTGCAAAGGAAGGAAGCAGGTAACAGAGGTATAAAACTACAGCTATGCAGCGGCAGGATCATGTCCCTGCTCCCTCTGAGGTCAGACACACCCTTGCTTCAGTGACAAGGAGTCAAGGCCAACATCTTTGGCATGAAGGCTCCGAAGAGTTTAAGTCTTCATATGAATGAAAGAATAGAAAAAAGCAAGAATATCCCAAGAAGACTGAAGGTAACATAAGCCTCATCATCTTCATACCAAATCTCTGCTCTCCCCTGTTGTTTTCCCACTCAGAACAACTCCGAAAACAGTCTTCCTGAACAGCACCGGAAACACTTCTGTTCTCAGGAAAATTAACGCTTAATTTTGTTAATATTTACTAGTTCGCATATTAATATTTGCTAATGCATGTAAGGGTAAATGAAGGATTTTCCTAATGAACTGAAATATATTTACTCACAAATTTGATGTGAAAGCATGGCCCTAAGAGATCACAGATCAAGGAGCAATGGAAAGTAGGACAGGAAAGAATATAAACAAGGTTCCATACAGCTCCATAAGGAAATGGACAGAATTACCAAATAGAGAATGTTTAACCTCTGCTGTGTGCGGTTGCCTGAAAAGAAAACAGAAAAACAACAACAAATTGACTATACTGAACCTCACTTCCAGCTCACAGATGATTGTATACTTACTGGGCTGCTATCTTAATATACTTCTTCAACAGCTGAACACGTTTGCTGAGTTGAGAGCAAAGACAAATCTCAGTGACCACCCAGAACTGAATTTCATTAAATCTTCTTAAAAACAAGTCCAGATTTGCCGTGGTCTTTTTAAAATTGTGCCTCCCAAAAGTGTGATAGATCAATTCCAGCTAGGAAAAAGAAAATAGTTTGGGACACTTTTTTAGAAATCTTATCTTTTGGGCAGAGGAAGAAGACTAAGAATGATGAGGTAAGTATCTAGCCTGAAACTTGCTCTGCAGTTTACATTTATTGCTGTAAATGACAAGGATGCAGGTTGCAAATCCAGTAGACATTAGCTGAGGCATACTAAAAGCATAATTACAGACTATGTATAAATAGTTTAAGACCTTAAAACATACATAAGTAATTCAGTAAGCAGCACAAGTGCAGAAGTTTAACTTTATTTTTGCATTTTACCTAAAACATTAAGAACACCTTATACTTTTAAAACTTGTAGGTGGTTTTATTGTAGTATTTTTGAAGATCAAGCTTAGAGAAAGTTTTGCAAGTTATGCACAAACCTACAATGTACAACTAAACATTTTCTAACAGATTCTAATCTGATGAATAGATAGATCCTCATACCTCATGCACACAGTTGAAAAGCTCCCAGTCATAAATTGTCATCTGATGTGCTAAGTCTTTGGAGCTCATCAGTTCGAACGTTCCTACTGTACCCGTCGACGGTCCTTCTTGTTCTGGTAATGGTGCCTACAAATGGAAAAATGGTATGAAAATATTTTAGAAATACATTCCGTGACTGGTGCTTTTCTTCCATAACGTTTCTGACTTTTTTTTTTCCGTGTGACCAGTTTCCTAGGCATGTTTCTAACAGCAAAATGAAATTTGCTTTTAACCACAGGATGGCATTAGGAAATGAGAAGCCCTGTGCAAAATCAGTATCCATTATGCACAGGATAGTCAGGAAAATTCTGAAAGCTCTTCAGAAGCACTGTAAGGAAATAACACAGACTGTTCTCAGTGTGTTATTTTTAGCATTGTTCTAAAATTTGAAGCCAGAAATAAATACTTCAATACACGTTGTGCTAACTAAAGCATGTCTGTTTAGGAGCATAGGTCTTTCCACACAGCTTTTGTTATCAGTTTCCTTTTTTGCATACACAAATAACTAGACCACGAAGCACAAGCCAAATGCTTCTGCAAAATTATTTATTCTAGTGATGAGAATTATTACATCTGCCATACTTCAGAAATCTGCAGTCATTGCAAGATCTTCTGATCGTTTATAACATAAGCCTCATACTTTCTCTCTGACAGTACAGGGATGCACTATTTGTGATTGCAAAACTAGCTATGCTAATTACAATTATATGCACACAGTCTTGGCAGAAAGAATCCTTTAAATCATTCAAGTTAAAACATTTTTGAAAAACACTTCCATACCACCCAAAAAATGAGATGAGATACACAGTTTTGCAGACAACTAAGTCTTGTATCAGAGAGATTTAAAACATGGCTTGAGATCAAGTCAGATTTGAAGCAGTAGCTTCCCGAGAACCCGAGTTTTAATTGTTTTGTTTCCAGGAGAGGGCAGTAGAGTTCACTTATAAGTTTCTCAATTTCTCCTAGGGTCTTTGTTCGCTAATCAGGGAGCAGGGAATTGTCAACAGGCTCTTTTCCGAGTACAAACTCAATAGAGTCTGCAAGATTAACAGATCATATTTACATTTATCCTTTTATGTAGGAATATTACAGTATCAATAGAAAAAGCACTGACTGGATTAATACATCAAATCACTTCCTCAATAACACGCAGCATGTAGAAGCATTTCTGTATGAATTCTTACTTTGTACTCTCGGGAAAACTTGTCTTTCAAATCATAGAATAATTTAAAATTATTAAGCTAAACTGCAGGCATTATTACCTTAAAAGCTCAGTCTACAATTCAAGAAAAAAATAGTGTATGTAAGTATTATCTAAAAAAACCCACGACTGCCATCAATCTTATAACAGCCGGCAGATTGCTCTGGATTGAGATCTGCACAAACACAACATTTCTTCAGTTTAAGACAGAGTCTGAATTGTAAGTAGAGCATTTTGGTGTAGAAAATCCTAGTTTGTGGAAATCTGTGGAAAGAGAATTGCCCAAAGACTGAAAGAGGACTTTTTTCCCCTATTTGGAGACAACACAACATAGCTGTTACCATAACAAACACATATTTTCCAAGGCTAGAAAAGAAGCACTTAGAAGTAAACTCATTGCATATCTGAAAATTAATCTAACCCAGAACAATTTTCACATGGGAATCGCCAAGTGTAATGTGAATAAATGTACATGCATAGGCAGCAGCCACAAATTGAAATGTGAAAGGATTAAACTGGGAGGCAGGCGAGGCTGTAACATTCTGCAATTTGTTTATGCCTGTTTGAAAAAATGCAGCTGATAAAGGGATGTATTCTGTTAGGCAGTGTTGACAACCTTTTTTAAGGTCCTAAGTGTTCCTCCCTAACTACTACTAAAGTCAGTCCAGTTGATGAAAACTAGCACATTGCATCCCTGTGTCTTAAAGCTCACTATAGTGTTTCGAATACTTGATCCATGGTAAATAGCATGGGGGAAAAGGCACAGAAAGTCATGACAATTTCCTGCCAAAGCTATGTCTACACAGACAATGCAGAGACATAAAAGTACCCAGCACAGTTGCACTGATGCAACACCCCTGCTTTAGAGTAGCAAGCCCCATGAAGGTATCTACTTGGCAGGATTAATTAACCTTAAGGGAACACCAGAATTTAATAAACTGAACAAGAGGTATCTCCACATGGCACTACAGTATGCTGGATGTGCATTCCCTGGTTACTAAATTGAAAGCAGCAGCAAAGCACAGATTTTACTGTATCTATAAAAGAAATCAGGCATACATACTAAGTGGCTTGTTAAAAGCATACAGGAGGCTGAAACAAGGCTAGGAGTAATAGAGTTCATGCTGACATGACTTGGCAATGACATTTGTTTTTAATGAAATAAAAGGAACAAAAAGTACAGTCAAATCAAACTCTATAAAAGCAGACCCCATGGAGATTGTTAGAATTACTGTATAAACCGTAAGTACTTATGAACAATTCTACCTAAGAAAAAACAGACTCTCTACTAGGAATATTTTCTGTTATCTACTTAGAGTCATCTGAGATTCTGAAACAGTAGTTTGTGGGGTTGAGAAATAGAATGTTTTTAGGAATTTACTGTTGGAATCAAGTCCTCAGAACGCTTTAATCAGTAACATCCATCTTCAACATATCTATCTGTGTGGCCTTGAGGAGGCAATTCTGTAATCAGGAATTTCTGCATGTCTTCGGGAGAATATTCAGGTCTACCTAAATGCTCAGTGTGACAGAATACTGGGATCAAGTGCTGTCGTGTGGACCAGATGGATTTCTGCTCTAGTTTAGGAAATTATGACATTACCTTGTTTTAATTTTGGGGCTCATCCCATAGCATTGTGACCAACCCTTTGTTGTGAATGTTTCCACTAGTTTTTACCTAAAGCATGATAATGCAAAAAAGGTCAGGTGTTAAAGAGAACTGAACTTCCTGACAACTGCATACATACATACCAGTGAATCAAACTGATCACGTGGGCAAGCAAACAGCCGTCCATTAACACTCAGAGTTGTAAACACTGAAACATCATGCGGTTTGAGCACGACCTTTTCTGTAAACATGAAACAACAGATTGTTTATTATATAAACAGTCATGATATATATGTAGAATTTACAGAAGGACTGATCCAATAGCTGCACAGATCACCCTTCTGGGAACAAATTTTCCACAGTTAAACAATGTCCAGGATAGAAAATAGGTAACTAAAAGGTCCTCTTTATTGAAGAAACACGACAACAAGCTCATCCCAAACCAGTCTCCTATGGAACTGGCATATGGAACTAGAACCTCAGCCCCAGACTGTACAGACAGGTCAAGAAGCCTGTGCTTCCACCTCTAGAAACTGCCTGCAAAAATTCAACCACGATTAGGGACTCCATTCATTCTTCTCTGAGCTGTAAGCATTCAGAGAACTGTTCTTAATAGAAATTGCCTTGGAAGCCAGTAACTGCATAAGGAGGTGATGAAATGCAACTGTATTCAAATCTCATTACAGCAGTTCTGAAAGAGCTTTCACTCACAGGTAAAGAAAAGATAAAGTAACACAAAACAGTCTCTTCCAGCATGCATTGGCTTTCAGGAAATCTGACAATAAAAAATTGCTGCAACTGCAAAAAGGAGAGCTGCCTGGTGTCAGTTCTCAGGAAGTGAGCTGCTTTTGGCAAGGCACAACTGTTTGCAAAAATGCCTTCCAACACAGCTCTTACTAGCTGTGTTGTGCCCACACAGTCACATTCACCCAGAGCACTTCAGCAACACCAGTTCTCTAGCAGTATTCACCTTGCAGTTACTCTCTCATTCCCACAGCCTACAGTGGGGGCCTGACTCCTGACCCTTTCAAACACTAGGTCAGTGGGCTTGGCACTAAGTTGCTCAGTAGTGGTTTGCATGGACAGAGCAGCTAGAATGGCAGTGACCAGAACTGGAATGTCTGCTCCGACATGTTTTCTGATGCTGCTAATTCATCTGTCTAGCCTGACATTATCCATGCTTACCTCCTGTTTCTGTTGTTAAAATCTCTTGCAAGTCTTACAGTGAAGGAAACCTGGGGTAGCTCTACTCTGTAACATGCAGATACATAAGCTTCTCCATTTTTCCCGTCTCCCACGTGAGTTCCAGTCTGTGCCTGCAGCAGGCAAAGACTTGCCTCTGAGTTAGAACCTGTGTACCAGCTGAACATGCACATTGACATAAAAGCCTTGACTAACTTGCTCTTTCAATCTCTCCCAACATTCTGCTTCACTGTAAGCAAGAAGTGTCTAAGATGATGCAAATACAGTACCTCCTCCTGAACTCATCTTTACTATGATGAGGCCTTCTCCAGAACCCAGCTTATCTGCTACTGCGCTGATCACCTCCTTCACAGAGGAAGAAACTGGCACCCGGATAGTGGTGTAGGTTTGGTCTATGCAGTACACCTTAAACAGAACTAAAGAAAAAAGAATTGTGCTGTGTATGCCACATGTAATAACCACAGAGATTTCACTGTACGGATTACTTTCACTTCAGTAACCACTCCTCAGAAACGAAACAAATAAAGCAACAATAAATCACTACAGGTTTGACAACTCCCCATTCCTCAGATGTTCTACAATTTCTAGGATAGAAATCTCTGTTTTCCCAGAGCTTTTAGCAAACCATGCAGTACTAGCATTACAGTATTGCTACGTTATTTATGGATGCCAATTTAATCTGGCACTTTGTTATGTTCCAGACGTTATAATATTTTAAATTAATACTTCCTTTCAAGAGTCAGAAAACTGGCTGCAAACTCTCTTAATTATAGGAAAATAATTTTCATATTTACAAAATAGATTTGAAAATAGTTTCTGTTAAAATCAGAACTTAAATCCAATTGTGTTGCAACCTGCTTTGTACAAGCAAGTATGTAATTCCTGAATCAAGAGTGTTGTAGACTAAGAAGAAAAATACCCTGACAATACGAATACACTTGAGTGTACAGTACAAATTGGCTCACAGAGTAATACATGAACCCAGGCCTCTGGCTGCCTAGAAATCAGAATCACTTAGCCTACATTAGCCTGCAATGTACATTAGCCTGCAAAAGCATGGCAGCTCAAAGTGAGAGGAATTTAAGACAGTAAACGCTAGCAAAATACTCCTTCAGCTCAGCTGTCAAGAACAAGCCAAGCAGCCCCTGGGATATGAGCTGTCCATGGATAGTTCAATGGTCAGTGTGCTGCCAGCTCCATGCAGCAATACAAAAAGGGCAGTTATTGCCTGTCCACACTGACACAAGTTGTACTTTCCTGGCAGCAGCAACTGTTTTGCTCTTTTGTGGAACTAGAAGAAACACTTTCGGACAACAGAAGCTGCATGCCTGGCAGGATGTCTGCTGTTCACATGCAGTTACTTCCAGCCTGTGAAATAGCTCTTTTCATGGGTTTGATTTATACCATCAGCTTTCTCAGCTATATGACCTTGTATTTTGTTCCCTTATTTTTACTATTGTTCACTAGCAAGAGCTATCCTTTACTTTCAAACACCTTGAAGCAGAAGTTATTTTCTATGATGAAGATGCACCAAAACAACCATTGAGAGACTGGTCCTAGCAGTTGCAAAGAAATCATCAGATTTATGAGTTTTAAGGGGCATGTATCTTTGCATGAACAATGAACAGATCGCATCAGCAGAGCTCAGGATTTTGCTCACATAGCAGTGCTTTAAGCTGCCCAAAGTAAAGGACAACGTGAAAAGCCAGTACAACTGAAAATGATATTCTGATACACAGCTCTAAATTTTACTTTAATCTCTTCAGAGAATGAAACAATAGCAATAGGGCAAACCAGCAGATTTTGTTTCCTAGGCAGTGTGCCACAGGGCAGAAATCCACCGCATGATTATCTGTTCCACTTCTGTCTCTCAAAAGAACAGCTGTATATGTTAGCTTAAACTACGTAAGGGAGACATAGGCTCAAACATGACCTTCAGCACCCACTATTTATTGCACTGCCAGGACCTGCAGAACTCTGTCTGTACTGGTTCTTACCTGGTTTGTTCATTCCTTATTTTAAAGGTTTCTACATCTGAGGAAGCACAGTATTTAATAGCACAAGTAACTAAGGGAAAAGACCAGGAACACTTCAAATCAATGATGTAGAATATTGGACTAGCAAAAGCAGAGTTTATTTCAGGCCAGACTTCAAAACTGTAGGTAGGCGCTTTTGTTTACTTTTAGACCATTTTGGGCAGAGAGACAAATTTACTGCAAAGCTAAGCGGCTCAAGAAAACTTTGCAGAGAAGGAACTCACCTTCGTCGCTACCTCTGATAGGCTGGCGTTTCTGTGCTCTGTCATCACTTGTGTTGAACAGCTGCAGAAGAACTTTGTGCTGAAAATGAATGATCAGGGTTCACATTAATGCAGAATGAAAAATTATGCGGTAAACATGAACTACAATAATCTCTTATCAATGACAGGAAAAAGAGTATCAATGCAAAATTTGACAATGTTAAAAGCTATAGCTCAACGTGTTGTTTTAATATATCCATGATCACTAAAGAGTAGATGCTTATGGATTTCCTGTGCTAAAGCTTTTACTTTGGAAAATGGAAAAAATGTATTATCTTACCTTCTTCTGTGGTGCTTTAGGTTCTTCAGAACTATCAAAAGGCAAAGCACAGAATATATAATAATATATTATCCAGAAGATTTTGTGTACGAAATCACACATAGAACACAGATAACTTGTCAAACTATCATATCAACATATTAATGTTTGCATGTATGAAATGACTCAATGACACCATAGTTATCTGTGACCAAGGCAGGGAAAATACTATACAAAGTCCATCTAGGTATGAAATAAGCATCCAGTTTAGTTTCAATGGTGTGTACATAATTTCTTACTCCTTCTGTCAACCTTTCAACAAGATTTTAGCGTTTGCAAGAATGATGTGGAAAGAGAGCGCCATAGACATTCATCCAAACAAACTTGCATGCAAACATTTAGTCTTGTATGATTGAGTGCCATTCACAAAATGGATTTTTAATAGATATAAGCAATAAATTTTCTTCATTTATTTACTGAGAAAAAGGGTGGGGGAAGTAAAGAAGCAAAAACTGTGCTTACACTTGCTTTACAATTTTCTCTAGCTCTGGAAGCTGCTCCTTTAGTGCTGCAATCATTCTCGTATCATCTGATACAGATACATAAAATTCCTGTAAATGATACAAAATAGTCTTTAAATAACTATAGGGGTAAATGAGCATAACTCAGGATAGAGGATTATGAGATGACATCTGATAGCTTAATGGTTATAAAGAATTATAATCTGCGTAGAGGAACACATGCTGGGCTTAACCCTCTATTACTTCTACTTGTTTATCTCCAGCTGATTTAAAGCAAGAGTTACACATGCAGAAGCGAAGCCTGATGAGGCTCCTTAGTACACTGTGTAACCACTGACTGGTTCTGCAAAAGCTGCATTTTCAGATTATCAAGGGTAAAGACTATAAAACCCACAGATAATCTGGTGTGATAGGTTTATTTTACCCACTAATGTTGTAGTCCTTCCTTAGTGGTTCATTTGCTACTCAGTTGTTGACTCACAGCTACTCCAGTCCACTACAATACTACCTCTTTTAAACCCTACTGAAACCTCTTCCTGCCAAACCTACATCAAACTGTCCCAAAGAAGGATCTATATGCTTGCAACTAGTAATTGTTCTGTAACTTCTGGACTAATGAAAGACACTATGTCTGTATCCAAAGTTTGTCTATTATAAAAAGCTTTCCCATGTGGGCTTGCTGTTATATCTGTCCTACTTAAGGCCTCCCTCTATTCCCCTCTCCTAACTCTTACCTTAGATTCAGTTTTAAGTGATTTGGGGCAAGAACTTCCATGTAGCCAGTCACATAGCTGATTGTGTTCCATAAACACAACACATAATAATAACTGCAATTACGACAACTTAACATGACTTTGGCAATGCATCTTATCTTAGAAATAAAAGGATATGGCATCTACCACAAAGACCTCACAAGCAATATCTGAGGAACTAAATGATTTCAAGGGATCAGAAGGGTTCTGAAGACAAAGACCTTAAGTTCCAATTGCTGCAGTACAGCTTTCATTCAAATGAAACGGATTGTTGGTTTTGTAGAGTGAGAACCCTCCAAGCTCCTTCCTGGCACACCTCAGGAAGGCATAAACAGCCCCCCAGTTCAACCTGTACAGCCTCTGAACTATTCACAAGAAAATACTAAAAAACAAAAAAAAAAAAGCAGATTTATCTCTTGCTATAAGGTATCTACCCATGCAGTGCTTTGAAAGGGGTCTGCAACTCCGGCAGATATTTCCAGAGGTCGAGAGTTTGACAATGGTTCAAGTACTGTTGTAGCGCCTATACTGTCTGCAGCTAAACCTGATAAAACAGAGTTATGAGTTTGCACTTTGAAATGACTTATTTCTCTTTAGTTCATAACAGAATTCTACAGACTAGAAATAGGCTTTCAGCTTATCTTGCATGGTAGGTACTTTTCAGTACAACGATACAATTCCTTTATACCTCCAAAAAGGCCATTGCTGCTTCATCTTCTTGTAGTAAATCTCCATATAAAGCAGCCCACTGCAGAACCAGTCGAATGACTCGCCTTTTATTGTTGAGGGCATAATCCATTTTCTCCTGCTCTGTACCCTGGGAAGGCTGGGCATGATAGGTGCCATGGTGTCAAGGAAAATGCTCAGTGATTGAAAATATCAAAACCAGTGTGAATTCACAAACAACTGACTTCCAACAAACTATTTCCAGGGTGTTCAAATGTAACTTTCCAAAACACACTTTTGATTTCAGACTGCTGCTAGCATAAAGACTTGTGAACCTTTCACATTCATACTAAAAAGTAAAAAGACAGTGAATTCTCTAAAGAGCACAGGAATGATCACAATCCCACCACAGAGACAGTTGCTGTAGGGGAGCAGAACAGAAATGACACTTGGAACAATAGAGAAGAGGATTAATCATGGAGACTGAGGAAGGGCATTTCACCTTGTTCTTCTTTGGAGACAGCTGAAGAAAAAGAACACTTTGTGTTTATTAACAATTCCAGTCTTCCATTTGTGAAGAAGACTATGGGAATGAAGCATCAGTGTTACTCCTTTTATTTTTAGAAGTTACTGTAACCCAAGGTGAACCTCAGTCCCACTAGGGCAGGGGGACCAGGAAGCTTAGCCTATAGAGACATGGGGTAAAATAAAAAATTCTGTAGTAGCCTCATCTTACACATGAGGAAAGCAGAAGTTTCCACTCTACCAAATAAAGCATACTGGGGACACAATACTTTGTGATAGCTATTTTGTGATAAACAGTAAGAAAAAATGGGAAACATTTCATTGACCTTTTTTCATGATAAAGTGTCAGCATTACAAAAATATACAAATACTTTTAGCAAAAAGGCCAAAAGTAATATTTATCGAACGCAAGAAACCAAGAAAAAAGTAAAGGCACAATGGGCAACAAACTGAGATAATTTCGGCTTTTAACCTATGTGAAAATGAAGAATAATCCCCAGCAGAAATAGGATATGACAATTTGTGTGCCTACTCGCTGATCAGAAGTTAACAATGTATATTTAAACTGTTTCCCAGTAAACTGATAGCTGACTGTGAAGTAAGCACAGAATGATTGCAGTTACGTCTTCAACTTTTCTTCCCAGATACCAAAATTCTGATTCTTATTGTCATGCATAATATTATTCCCAGTTACACAGCAGTGTTCAATATTAACATACTGACAGGCTTTCACTCACAGTAAAGTCCATCATCCTTTCAGGGTACACTTTCAGTTGTTCTAAGACAGATTTTAAAATATTACCTAGAAAATCAAAATTAGAAATCAAAAGTACCTATTTATTTTAAGCTTCTCAGATAGAAGCAGTTGTCTAAGAAATTCTAATAAAATATCATGTGAAAAAGCAGCTCACACTTTCCGAATGATCCTCCTGCCCCAAATCCCTGCAGTGATTTGACATGCTACCAGGGCTACCGGGGCACTCATTTGACTGACAAAATTTCAGAAATCTGCATTTTCATTTCACCCAGACAGGTTTAAAATGACTAAACATGTCAGTACATTTATGGGAGTCCGTAAGTCAAAGGGTCATAAGAAGTAAATAATTTATTGTAAGCTATGTGCCCTCATGTCTCAGGGAGCAAGCCTAACATTCTTCTGAGTAGTTTTTCTCATGCCATTTTTACTTTTCAAACACTGTAATCATTTAATGTATTTTTACTTTCTTGTGAACTGACTCACCACAGTGAGTGGTAAATTTTCTGTATTGTTACTGCTCACTTATATTAATTGCTCCTTTATTAACATTATTACAGGGAAAATCAGTGAAGGGTTCTCTCACTTTTACGGGACCTACAGGATGCAGATTCATGGCAAATATCATGCATACTTGCAACAAGTGTCAGATAATTGTAAAATATTTATCAACACCAGCGTGGTTAGAGATCAATATATATGTTTCTAGTTCTGTCTAGCATATGCTAGCAAATGGAAGCAATTCTGAAGTCTGTCCTTCCCTGCATGGGAACGCTTAACCGTATCAGCAGCTGTGCAAAATCAGCAACCATTACTACACCAGAATGCAAACTATTTTGCTGGCATGATGGTAACGGAGGTTCACGAAATATACATACAGAAACATACTAAAGGACTACCATCTATAGAAAGCAAAAGAGGAGTTTATACTTCATAAGTTTTTAGAGAGTGGTCCTTTAAAGATGCACGCCTGCACACATGCTCACATACCTGCACTATCCCAGGTGTACTTTTGGAGGTGCTAACCTACTGCAAGTATTCTTTAGGACTTCGTCCTGCCTCCCTCTGACAAGCTGTAGGTCTAAGAATTTGTCCATTTCCATCTCTGTGTGGAAGAGAGGGAAACAGGGGCCTTGGTCCAACACACAGTATGGCAGGGGGTTTGGAACTAGATGATCTTAAGGTCCCTTCCAACCCTTACCAGTCTATGATTGTCTAGCTCTACTCGTACTTGCATGCTGCCAGCTAAAATAGTAACCTAAGTGGGTATAGGAAAATAGATTTGTATTGATTCAAAATTGGGAGTTGGAGCAAAACCAGTGTTTCTGACTGAATTGCCTCTCTCCTTTTTGTGTTTTAATTTCCTCACTGAGCATAACTAATCTCTCCCTAGTCTCTCAACACCAGCAAACCTTTTTGTAGAATGATTTTGCTCAAAAAAGACAAGCTTTGTTAGCAACCTTTCAAATCTAACAATAAGTTTCAACGGTACAATCAACAGAGCACAGTTTGATTTTCCATATTCAGAATGGACCAAATAAACAATAATTCAGCTCTAGGAAAAGCTGACACTAAAGCAGTGGGATACCAGTTACTTCCAGCCCTCCTTTTCCTCCCTGAAAAGAATTAGCATGATGCTTGCCACGACCCACTTAAGACCGTGGTCTGAGCCTGTTCTCCAGAATACATTTCATCACAATTGAGTATGTATACATAAGTAATGCTATCACTTTGATCTTCAGAAAAGCTTTTCCCCTATAAACAACGAAGTACATTTTTGCTTATGCATCTTGATTTTCCCAGTTAGTGGATATCAGAGGTATACTATTATAAATGGGGACAGACAAATCTGAGTTGCAAATAGACTGATTGAAAAATATGAGCTAGATAAATTGGAAAAAAACCAAATGAAACAAACATACAAAGTTCTGTCCTTTCCTTCCCCTCTCAAAGTTGTCAGCAACAGCATCTCATAATATTTTTGATATCCAAAACTATGTGGTTTCGGAAAATGTGTTTGTTTCAGGTGTACAAACAATTTTCTGCAGACCAGTTTTTTGGGTCCAAAGGTTTTAAAAACAATTACTGTCCTTGCTAGGAGTAACACAAATGGATTCTCAGGCTTGCCAGACAAGGACACAATGTTCCATTTTGTGGTTTCAGGGTGTTAGCTTTCCTAGATGTCACTCGCCCCACTGAGCTTCAAGGAAAGCACACTTTCACACCAATCTGATTCTAAAAAATAAATAGGGAATTGAAGTTATTATACCCCTGTCAGAATTCTATAAGCCAGAAAACGTTATATGTTTATTTAATGCTCCCTGTCACTTGATAGCTTCAAGTCACTGTGAACAAGGAAAACTCTCAGTGCCCAACAGCTCCCCAAACTAAATGACTTGCCAGAAACTGTCTGATGGACATTTTACAGACTCTTTCTGTAAAACATGCAGACAGTACGAGAATCACCTCCAGCAATCGATGCTATCCTCATAAGTATTTGCATGCAATTGACGTTTCTTGCAGTTTGTCAACATTTGCTATAGACCATTATTATTAGAGATTATTATTTTTATTCGTAACTATTATGACAGCACCTAGAAATTGCTTACCCATTATTCTACTAGTTTAGGCACCTTTTTGCTTGAAGCAGTTTGCAGCTTGTAATCTATAAAGTAGACCACTGAAATCACTAAAACATTATGATCTCTGTTAAAATCTAGATGCTGTAGTTCAGAAAAAAAAACCAAATCAAGAAGAAAGGATACGGGAAGGGCAATCCAAACTTTTATGTAATTTCATTTATCTGGTGGAGGAACAGTACATTTCTTTCCCTTGGAATACTAATCAGCACAGGAAAGATAGATAAAGTTTTCATGCTCCGGGACTGTATCTCATCATGGGTATACACTATCTGTTTCAGAGTTGTTGAGCTATGTATGGACAGCTGTTCATCAGACACTGAGAACCTACCCACAAGGCACAGTCTCTATGAAACGTGATGTACTTCTTGAGAGAGAGAAGTTTCAGTCTTGCCACCAGCAGGGATAACTGTTAAAGGGATGTAACTTTTTCTTTACAAAAGGATATTGTGCCATCAAGGCCGGGCAGAGCTGACTATTTGGCATAAAAACACAGTGCATCATAATAAAATCATTTAAAACAGAATCTGTGAAAAGAGAAGAAAGAAAACAGTCCATTAAGCCCTCGCAAACAGCTTGGGGATCACGAGGATGAGTTTTCCTGCCACCGAAGTATCTTATTAGCCCTCTGCAGATAATAAAGGGGTCTTTCTGCAGTTTGTTTGTACATATTAAGTATGAAAATGGGAAATGAACAAATATGAGCTGTAATATTAAGCTTTTATTCTTGTCTGCATGAATTTTATTGCACTGTTGTTAACAGGCATTTGCTTGTGTCAAAGGGAAATTTGGCACAGCAAAAAAACCCCAACAAACCAACATCTGTGTTACAGTGAAACATTTGGATATAATCACATTAAAACATATATGACCAATATGCTTGACATTCTCTCTGGCAAAAACCGGCAAGCTATTTTTAATGTTAAAATGATCTGTGGTAGCGCTGGTGTAAATCCCAGTTTGCCTTGTCTTTGTATTTATGGCAACAAGAAAGATATATGAGGCCCAGCTGCAGAGGCCAGAATCAGTTTGGCAGTGAGACTAAACTTTCTTTTACTTTTAACTATACGAGTCTTACATGGAACCACTGAAAAACAATAAACACAATACCCTGGGGTATCATTTCTATGTGCAACTTTTGAGAATGAGAAACATTTAAAAACCCTGTCTGTAAGGGATCTCAGAAAAAACTTGATGAGATAACTGTGAAATGTAGTATTACATCATGGCTTCCACTGTATTCATGTATGAAAATACCTCTCAGTTGACAAAACTAACCTCCAGAAGGGTGGGACTTTTTCATTCCATAATATTCAGAGCAAAGTGGATTTTAACAGGAATTTAAACTAAAGGAATGCATAAACTAAAAATTTGATTTCACAGCATCCTGAGCTTCTGTATCTTAAATACAGCTTTGCTTGTGAATTGTGATGTTTTGTATCCCATTAGGACATAACTATAATCTTGTCATTGGATGCTTTGGGGAAAAGTTTTAAAAGATTTAAAAAATGATTCGTTTTAGACAATTGTATAATAGATGCATACTATGAATAACAAACTTCTGATTATATACTTGTCAGCTTAAAGAACAACATTCTGCTTGTAATCCTAATAAACAGGTATCTGTGAAGACTATAATTTTTATTCTTAAAAGTGGTTAAAACACACACTGTAAAAGGATTTATGCAATCTTTCAATTCTTCCATCATTTATGAACAGTATATAGGTTTCTCTGGTATGATGAGGTCATTAACAGATTACCTGGATTTACGAATGCATTTGAATATACACTTAGACATCTGCAATATAAAAAGAACTGGCTAAAGTGATATTATGTAGCTTAATATAAAAGTCTCTCCATTACTTTATCATAATTAGGAGGATTTTTTTGTGTCTGACTCTTCATAAAAATTGAAATACTTACTAACAGTAAGTCAGCAAATATCTGTATCCCTGGATGTAAATTCTCTGTTCTCTTTACACTAATGAAAAGCAGCCTACTAAATGCAGTTTCAGCAACCTGCATTCATGGGACTTGACCCATGGTGTGCTGAGTTCTTCTGAGTAACAATTTTTCTTCCCCTGCGCATGGGAAAGTATCACAAACAAGTATCTTAAACTGTAATACTTTAAATGTGATATGGATATGAAAATTCGGGAATATTTATACTAGCATAACGCAAAGGCTGGAAGTACCAAGCTAATTCACAGTATAAAGTGACATCCAGAACTAGAAGTAGCACTATCGTTGGGTGGTAATGCATGCTGTGTCCTGGCCTTAGAGTTGTGCCCAATCAAAGTCATGACCAGTGATCTGGCACATTTTGGAATGTTACCGTTCTACTCTGAACCGAATGTACAGATACAATAGAGTGGGCTATGAGGACCAGATTGTTATCTTTAATTCTAGGTTTCCTAGGTCTTCTTGGGGTTGTTTCAGAGCAGTGGATAGTTCTTATTCTGGAAAAAAACTATCACTAGCTGCTTTTCAAAGCATCACATTGCAATGTTCCCCCAGGAAGACCATCTTACTCAGTAATAACAACACAGCCTTTGTCATGTCGATACCTGTTGCTTCAGTTAAAGTCACTTCAAGGCGCATAGTTTCTAGAAAGTGCTCTAAAATTTTCTCTGGGGTTCCTGACATCACAATATACCTGAAGGAGGGAAAGCAACAGTTACTGTCTCATAGGCAAAACAGCTTGTCAAGAAAGTGTTGTGTACCAGTCAGAAGACAGGGACTGCTGAGTACCAGAGTACAAATACCTGCTCTGACTGGGATTTTGGTGTGATTTAGGACAAAACCAGTCACACTTCGTGGCTTCTCCCCTGTAAAGTGGTAGCAATAACACTCTCTACCATACCCAGGAAGTAGGAGATGGCAGACAGCCTCCTCCCTGCGTAAGTACTCCAGTATAACACCACCACAGTTACACCACAGTCAGCAGAGCTGCACTGGTGCAAAACTGAAAAGTGAAATCAGAAATGCTTCCCCACTCCATAAATATCTCAGTAATGACAGCAATGCAGTAGCATTAGAGGGTCCTAACAGACTTACTATGAGGATGAAATGAGAACTGGTGTCTATCAGTGTCAGAGCAAGGAAACAAATGCCTTCAGTATCAGTGACCGGGTCTGAGAAGAAGGGGACAGATAATGAAATAGCACACTGTATCTTCAAATTTGTGCAATGCCTTAGACAGTTGAAGTAAGTTTTTCAAGTGGGTAAACAGGATTGTACCATGTCCTGGAGTAAATTTAGGGAAGTGAGAGAATTAGTGCAATAGTCAGGTTTTCCTGGCAAAAATACCGGCAAGATTTTTAGGATATTGCTAAACTTGGCCTGCCATCTTCTTTTTTCTTTTCCTTGCAGATTAGAATTTTTTATCTTTCCCTCCATTCTTTCAATCTTCGCATCTTTTTTCCTCTCTTTTTTTAATCCAACTGATAAAGTATGAAACTTAAAAAAAAAAAAAGAGAGAGAGAGAGAAAAAACCCCCGAGAAGTGAAGATACTCTGCTCCTGCTGAGAAATAAGTGGTGGAGCTGAGCTCCTGGGAGCTCCTCCTCACTTTGAGTGCTGACCGTCACAGTTCTTTTACCTGCCAACCCCTTTGGAAGAACCGTATTGATGTCCCAAGAACACAAACACTTGTTAAGCCAGTGCACATTCTCGCAGAGATCCTAACCACGTATCTAAGTGAGTGAAGCAGAGAAATCACAGGTTGCTGTACTCTGAATATGAAAGTGAAAATGAACAGTGAAGTGACTTGCAGAGGCTGCTGAACTCATCCTGCATGAGTGTGATCACCCATAAAGAGTTAGATCTTGGGAGTGAGAACTTCAGAGCCAGTCCTTCGAGGCAAAACTGTCGCTGTTTGAAAGCATGGCTCAGGGAGCTATGTAGGAGCTACTCATCCTCAGTAAAGCAGGCAGTAGAACTCAAACCAAAACTGAGAGGATCTGCTCCCAAAGCAAAGCTTTCCCCAAGACTATGATGAAGATGAATTTCTTGGTTGACTGGATGTCTCAGGGACCAACTTTGGGTTGCAGACCATTTCTCTAGTGCAAATACTATGTACCTGCTTAGGAAGCAAAGCCGAAAGGGCAGCTCAGCTGAAGAGGTATCAGTGATGTAAGCTACCTAATAAAGGGCAAAGCAGCAAGCCTTTAAGAAGAGGTCCCTTTAAATTAAAGCTTCCTATACAGTGATTTTCAAAAGTACTGAACAGTCAACTAACACATCCCAGTAACACATGCTGGAAATCAGCCTACACCAGTGACTTTGATTTGAAATCTCAAACATAAAAAAAAAAAGAAGCTTAAAAAAGCAGCTTACAGAAGGTGGAAGTGAGGACAGGCAACCTGGGAAGATTACAGGAACGTTGTCCGGGAAGCCAGGGACCAGGTCAGGAAAGCTGAGGCCCAGTTAGAATCAAATCTGCCAAGGGATGTGAAAGAGAACAGGAAAGGCTTCTACAGGTATGTAGCAAATAAAAGACAGACTAGGGACAATGTGGGCCCTCTCCAGAAGCTATCGGGAGAACCGGCTACCCTGGAATTGGAAAAGCTGAGGTTCTTAATGACTTCTTTGCCTCTGTCACTAGCTCAGACCACACCACCCAAGTCTTGGAAGGCCAACACAGGGACTGTGAGAATGAAGACCTTAGGCCCACTGTAGGAGAAGATCAGGTTCAAGACCGCCTTAAGAACCTGAACGTGCACAAGTCCATGGGACCTGATGAAATCCATCCATGGGTCCTGAAGGAGCTGGCGAATGAAGTTGCTCGGCCACTGTCCATCATATTTGAGAGGTCATGGCAGTCAGGTGAAGTTCCTGATGACTGGAAGAAGGGAAATGTAACCCCCATTTTCAAGAAGGGGAAGGTGGAAGATCCGGGGAACTACAGACCAGTCAGTCTCACCTCTGTGCCTGGCAAAATCTTGGAGCAGATTCTCCTGGAAAGAATGCTGAGGCACATGAAAAACAGCGAGGTCGTTGGTGTCAGCCAGCATGGTTTCACTAAGGGGAAATCCTGCCTGACCAATTTGGTGGGCTTCTATGATGGGGCTACAGGACTGACAGACAGCGGCAGAGCAGTTGATGTCATCTACCTGGACTTGTGCAAGGCATTCGACACTGTCCCACACGACCTCCTTGTCTCTAAATTGGAGAGACACCGATTTGATGGATGGACCACTCAGTGGATAAAGAACTGGCTGGATGGCCACACACAAAGAGTTGTGGTCAATTGGTTCAATGCCCATGGGGAGACCAGTAACGAGTGGTGTCCCTCAG